GTTGTCCCGGCTGGAGTGCCGTGGCGAGATCTCAGCTCACTGCAACCTCTGCCTCCCAGGTTCAAGCGATTCTCCTGCCTCAGCCTCCTGAGTAGCTGGGATTATAGGCTCCTGCCATCACACTCAGCTAGTTTTTGTATTTTTAGTAGAGACAGGGTTTCACCATGTTGGCCAGGTTGGTCTCAAACTCCTAACTTTAAGTGATCTGCCTGCCTAAGCCTCCCAAAGTTCTGGCATTACAGGCGTGAGCCAATGCGCCCAGCCTGTGTATGATGATTTAAATGTTTAATGTACTTAAAGCTCTTAGAACCATGTGCAGCAATATTAACACCATTTAAGTGATAGTTATTAGAAAAGCTACTGTTATTAAGGAACAATGCAAGGAATTGTTCAAATGCATATAATCGTAAAATATGGAGTCAAGGCTGGGTACGGTGGGTGGTTTACGCCTGAAATCCCAACACTTTGAGACCAGCCAGGGCAAGATAGTGAGACCTTTTCTCTGCAAACAACCAACCAACCAACCAACCAAACAAAAATACAACAACAAAAATGCAGAGTCAAAATGGAAGGATCTTGTCAAAGTTGGTAGTCACTAGGCGGTTAGTTCCATGACGATAAAAAGTGGTCATTTTGTTCCTACTCTATTTGTTGAAAAATGAAAGAATGAGGCATGAAAGACTTGACTAGTTTGATGTTCGTGACTTAATGAAGAGGAAAGCACACGAGATCTGGAAGTGGAAACCCAAAACATGAGTCCTGGCTTAACCTCATTCTAATTTGACAGGTGATTTACCACAGGTACTCAGTTTCCTCATCTTTGAAAGAGGGAAGTCAGAGGGAGAATTTCTGAGGTTCATTCCACATCAAAAATTCTTCAGTGTTAGATAGACTTTCGAATTTTACAAAAGGTAATGTAGTCATGGCTATGGAAGTCTTTCTCACATACCTTGTGTATTTCCAAAAAGGATTATCGAGTTGGAGACAATGTCATTTGTTTGTGTTTTCTAAATCATTATGTAAGAATCTGAGCCACGAACAGAACAAATCTTTAAATCCATGAAAATGGATTACCTTTAGCTGGATTGATAACTTTTAAAGCTCTTGGATTGGGACAATAAAACTGATAAGGACATTTTTCCATTCATCTTAAGTGAATTTTTGGAGACTCTTAAGAGTAAAATATAATGTATACACATCTAATGCTAATTTATCATAAACATGTAATGAAAGTAGAACTCTTATCTAGTTTAGTTTAGAAATTCTCTGCTAAATGAAATTAAGCTGATTTAGTTGAGCTTTTAAAATATGAGGGTGAAAAGCATAAATCCAAAGGATTTTGTAGAACTACCATCCGGACCGTCTTTCTTCAGATTATGTTCCTAGAATCTGGGTTCCCCAGGGCTGCCTCTCATTACTGTCAGTATTAAGGACTAGAAAGGAGCTGGAAGAGGCTTGGCCGCCTTAATAGGTTTTTGGTAGTGGCATAAAGATTTCACTTGGTTGGGGAAGTGGGGAGGGGCATAGAAGAGTCTGCTGTGGAAACAAAAGAAAAGAAAGGGAGAGTGGTCTGAAATCAAAAAGTCTGGATTACGTATACAAGCTTTGAGTCAAACAAGGTTTAAATTTTAGTTCTGCTACCTTTTAGTTATGTGACCTTGGGCTAGTGGTTTAATCTCTCTAAGTCACACTTTGCACATTTTATGTTTCTTACTTTACAGTGTTACTGTGAAGATTAAATGAGCTAATACATGTAAAGCACTCCTACCTAGAACATAGTCAGCTCTAATAAATAGTGACTGCCAGACCAAGGGCAGATAACCTATATTCTCTTTTAGCTTCTTATGCTCCCTCTGGAATGTCTCAGAAGCATACGAAGCACTGTTTAAGCCTCCTGCAATCAAAATTCATTCTTTTTAATGAGCCCTAATAGACCCTATGGATTTTTTTTTTTTTTCCAAAATCTATTCATAGTTTAATGTGGGCTGTGGACAAAGGTTCACTTTGTAAGACTGTCTAGCTAGGTTAAAAATAAAATATGCAGAAATGTGTGGAACTTCAACAATAGAATATAAGAAAATGAATTATTCTTAACTGAAAACAAAGGCATTATAGTATATGAATGTGTATGTGAAGTAAAAGTCTGGAAAGTATAAACATCAGTATGGTAATAGTTACTACATCTGGAGAAGGGAGAAAGATTGGAGAGGAGGTGGGACATACCTTATTATTGTTTTAATGTTTTATAGATTTATTTACATATTGTTTAGTTAAAAACAAACAAAAAAAGCAAACCAAAAGCAAAGTCATGGTACAAACTGAAATAAACATTTAGAATGCAGAATTTGTGGAATAAACCAAAGTAGGCAAGAATCAAAGAATTTATCCCTGGGGCATTCAGTGACTTGACACAAGGTCACCTTCTACTTAGTTAACTGTCCTTGAGGAGTAAAGAGAGTGCAGGGGCAGGAGAGATGTCCGATACCGTCTCCAGCAACTGATAGACCCAGGTTAGAAGGTAGATGAAGCTGCCTGCCAGTTATCTTGGTAGAAACTTCTTTCTGCATATACTCAGATAAGACATCAGTACCCTGGGTGGTTCTTTGCAAAATTCAAGGTCTGCAGAGTCACCAACTGAAGTCTATTGGTAAATTTACTTTTAAGCAAAAACAAAACCAAATGGTAAATTAGTATTTCTATTAGTACATTTTGATAACAAAGAAAATAAAAGACAATTTAAAATGTATATAACTTAAGTCCACATTGCTTAAGAACATCTGACTGAGGAGTTTTAGAATATCCCTAATACCATGAAATAAATACCGTAATTAAAAGGCAGTAGAATTTAAGTACTGGATAAAGGGCTATGGCATTTTTAAAATTAGCAAAACACTTGTTTATTATTGCAAATTAGGGCTGGACCTGGTGGCGGACATCTGTAATCCCAACAATTTGGGAGGCTGAGGCAGGAGGATCACTTAAGCCCAAGAGGTCAAGACCACTCTGGGCAATATAGCAAGACCCCGTCTCTAAAAAAAAGAAAGAAAGAAACCAAGAAAGAAAGAAAGAAAGAAAGAAAGAAAGAAAGAAAGAAAGAAAGAAAGAAAGAAAGAAAGAAAGAAAGAAAGAAAGAAAGAAAGAAAGGAAGGAAGGAAGGAAGGAAGGAAGGAAGGAAGGAAGGAAGGAAGAGACCACTCTGGGCACATAGCAAGACCGCCTCTGTTGTTGTTGAAACCGGCTGTTGTTGTTGTTGTTGCTGTTGTTGCTGTTGTTGTTGCTGTTGTTGCGCCAAATGAATAAATAATGGCTGTAAATGGGCTGGCCAGCTGAAGCAAGAACAGCTGAAATTCAACTTCACAGTCCTTCCCTCGGTTGGAAATACTCTCGGCCGCCAAGTGTTCAACGCGCCGCTCCCATCTGCAGTCACAACCTAATCCTTTTCTCCCTAAGGAAGGAAGGAAGGAAGGAAGGAAGGAAGGAAGGAAGGAAGGAAGGAAGGAAGGAAATTAATTTTCATAAAGGGCCCTTCCCTTGGAAAGAAATATTTCGGCTACAGGGAAACACGAAGAAGCCTTGTGGAGCTCTGTGAAGTTGCACTGACTTGCTTTCATTCAGCTTGCAGCTCCACTAGTGAGAGATTTCACATGGTACTCCCGCTCCAAGAGCAAGGGCCAGGACAGGTTGGTTTCATTTTGGTTTTAATGCATATGCTTTGGCCCACAGACTTTGAGAAAGATTTTGCTTTACTGATGAGAACTCAGTCAAAGGTGCTTGGGAGCCTTCGCTGGCCCTCTAGCTGGGCCTGACACGTTGCCTGCATTTCTAGCCTTGCCTTCCCAGCTTGCCCATTTGGTGCAGGGAGGTAGTCCAGCCCACCCTGAAATTCACTGTGTTAGGCGGATGAGTTAACTGAAGAGCTGTGTTTCAGGAATGGCACAGAAATGACCTGAATGAAGGGAAGGACGAATGAATGGAGAGAACCATTTTGGAGGAATTGCCCTAGGGTATTATATAGGATGGGGCAACTGGGGGCTGGAGGATGTTCCTTTTCTTACGTTGCTTAGGAAACACTGCCCTTAAGAGTGTCAGTCATCATTCCTTTAACAATCAATCATTTCTTACCTCCCACTTGTATATAAATTTGCAGATTTACACAGACCACCAGTGTGGCCATCCCAGTGAACTGAGTTTATTGTGAAACATACATGCAAAAAATCATTTTTTTCTCACCTACAACCAATGCAACATTTTTATTTTTCATACTTTGAGTTGAAGAATAAGGAGTTTAAGAAATAAATGCATACAGCAACATAACCCTGAATTATCACTCAAATACAGACCTCCCACTGTTCTCTCTTTAAAAAAAAAAAAAAAAAAAAAAAAGGCAGTTATTCCAAGCAAAAGCAAAAATTGAGGCAACTTAAAATAGACAATTTTAAATGCTGGATTCCATCATTTCGTAAAAAGGTCATTCTAGTCCTTTGCTATTTATACCATAGATAGAGACATAGCAAATTATTGGCTGGATGGATTTGGGAAGGCAGAAGCTGCTGCTTCTGACGAATGAAGATGATAATGCATCACTTGAGACTGAGTGGATGAAAGGTGTGGAAAAGTTGAACCCTTCAAAGATAAGACAGAGGAAGCTGCTAAATTAGCCCCTGACTAAATTACTAGCCATAACTGTACTCAGGCCAATTCTCTTTGCCTTGTAATCTTTGTTGTGGCTTGAGAGAAAAATCCCCATTCCCAGCTCAAACCCTTTTTAAGGCATCTCAGCCCAACCCCCTCCTCCCAATAGCAACTCTTCATAGCCCCCTGCCCCTCCTCCAACAAATTCGAATCAAGGCAGGTATAGTACTCAGCTTTACCACTGCTGTCAGAAGCACCGCTTACCTTAAGGGTTTAGCAACAAAACCTTAGGCTTACTTCAGGCAAACATTCAAAAGCATTTAAGAGAAGCACAGAAAACAAAAGAAATAAGCAAAACCTGTCCTTACCCGCTTCTTAAAAAATTGGAAGGCTGAGCATTTCTTGACTGGGAATCCATTCATGTCTTTGTTTACCATTTTCCACCGTGGGGAATTCACAGTTACAGATCCAGGGTGGCACCCGCCTGGTTAGTGCATATCTGTTTCCCCGGTTTACCTCCTGGAGACAGTTAATGAACACTGAGCGGGATGGAGAATCCAGCAGGGCTCAGTTCTTCACTCGCTCATTCTGCAGCACCAGCTACTGCAGCAACCTCTCCCCACTTTCAGTTGCCACCGGCAGCGGCTTTTCTCCTTCCATCATTGCTCCGAGACATATGCATCACCGCTGCAGCACCCTGGGGGCCGGACGGTGGGATACGGCCAATCTCCGGGGAGATGCTGTGGCTCCTACCCAGCGGGAGAAAGGTACCCCTCCCCGCCCCCAGCTACCTGGCTGCTCCTCGGCGGCCGGCGCGGGGAGCGAGTCGCTCTTCTCCAGGTGATGCGCTCCTGGAGGCTGCTTGAGAGAGGAGAGTTGTTTTTGATTGTGCAAGTTCCAGTGGGAGCTGTAGTTAAGCAGCTGAGAGAAGGAGTAAGAAAGAGCAGAAACCAGAGGGAGGGAGGGAGAGCCGCGCCAGAAAGGCAGAGGGAGAGAGAAAGCGAGGCTGGAAGAAGCAACGATTCATGAATATCTGAGCAGCGGATGGAGAGAAGGCACAGCTAGCTCAGGATGCGCTGAAGAGCAGTTGACTCCCCTTGGGAGGGCTACTTTAAATAGCTTCTTTTCTTTCTTTTTTTTCTGTTAGGAACATTTAAATCCGAGTTTCATATAAATTGCACACCGGTTTTATTTTATGCTCATTGACATTCTTTTGAATCCTGTTTCTGAATAAAACCTCTCAACGGAAATGTAATCACATTTAATCTCGACCTGTCCAAACGTGGAAGAAAATGAAATAAAGTACAAGCGTAGGTATGACAATGGAAGATCTCTGACTATGTAGAAGCTCTTCTAGCCTCCCCTTCCCTACTTGTCATTAGATAGTGGGCAATGGTGAAGGTAATTGTGTTTTTTCACTAAAAAGCTTGTTAAAAAAAGAACACAATGAAGATATACAAAGTATTTTATTACACACACACACACACACACATACACACATGAGTTTTTACCAAAAAGTATTACTGAATCCATTTAATGATGAGGAAGGTTTGATAAATAAAAGAGTAAACCATTCTTCCTATTAGGTGAAAAATTTCCCAAAAAATCCTAACTCATGTTATCCTTTGCACATTGAGCTCCTTTTAAAAAAGCCATTTAATTGTATGTGGCTTATTTTTCCATTTTTACTCTTTAATATTGATATTTTATGTGAATGATTTTAAAAATTAGTTTATAGCTAAAGCAAGAAAACAAAGAAAATAAACTTGGCATCTGACCTGGCAAAAAGCTACCAACATCGGTGTGTGGCTTTCTGCCATCACCTGACCTCACTGTGCCTTCGGACACTGCCTCATCCATAAAATGGAGGCAGCTACTCATTCATTCATTCACTCATTCATTATTTGCTATTTCATTCCATTAATAAATCTAACTGTGACAAGTGTCCTCAGGATGTGGAGCCTTTTCATAGATATCACAAGGGAATATAATTGATAAATAAGTGAAAGGCACAATGCTAATTTGAAACTGATTATTACCTCATTATATATAACACATCTAACATCGTTAAAGTATTTACATGGCAGTCTCTGGTAAGAAAAGAAGCATCAGGTTAAATTGGGAAATAAATGCATGGGTTTCATTGAATTGGACTACAAATCTCTACAGTTGGGCCAGAGTTTTCGGGAATAAACATGAAATCCTATTTGCTAAATGCCTCGAGGTTTCCAAAAAGAAAATGCAATACAACTAAATGATGGCATGATAACCAAGGGAAAACAAACTACTCATTTTGGAGAGATATGTTACGTTGTCCAAGATGCAAGTATACGTTATGTAATCTACAACATTGATAAGTTTCTGTGGTTCTTCTAAAGAGCTCATTTAAAATTATGGTAGTTCAAAGGGAATTATTTTGAGATGATGGAAATGTTCTCTATCATGATGATGGTGGTGGTTACATAACTATGCATTTGTCAAAACTCATCAAACTTTATATAGGAAAAAGGAAACTTTTGCTGCATGTAAATTATACCTCAATGGACCTCATTTTAAAAAATGATGGTCATTCAAGTTCTTTCTTGTTCCTCCCATTGCCGCTCCCCCAAAAGTGTTTTGACAGACATTTACTGAATTTGAGTGATATATAGGAGGAGATCGTTAAGCACTCTGCTAGGAAGGAGGTGCTAGGGGCTTTGCTTAATCCCACATTGGCCTAGCATGCATACTGGTTGATATCATTTTGCTGTGTCCCCACCAAAATCTCATCTTGAATTGTAGTTCCCATACTGAGTGATTTCTCATGAGATCTGATGGTTTTAAAAGGGGCTTTTCTCCCTTTTGCTCAGCACTTCCCCTTCCTGCCACCATGTGAAGAAGAATGTTTGCTTCCCCTTCTGCTCTGACTGTAAGTTTCCTGAGGCCTCCCCAGCCATGCTGAATTGTGAGTCAATTAAACCTCTTTCCTGTATAAATTACCCATCTCAGTTATGTCTTTATTAGCAGTGTGAGAACAGACTAATACCCTGGTTTCATGTAGGATGTGTGTTCACTTGGGGTGCAGGGGGATGGTTAATAGAGATTATGAGGGAGGAGGTGAAGACAAGCTAATTGCTATCTCTTCCCCTCACTCCATGCCACCTCTTGAAGATGCTGCCACTATCGCCTCATCTATATTAGATCCTATGGAAGGTTCAGTGTATATAAGCATCACTGGTTTTTGTCACCAAGGAACTCATAGCCTAGTAGAGAAATATACAGTGTGGTAAGAATAATACATACAGTAGTCCTCCCTTATCTGAGGTTTTACTTTCCACAGTTTCAGTTACTTAAGGTCAACCATGGTCTGAAAATCAGTGAGTACAATACAATATGATATTTTTAGAGATAGATAGAGAGAGACCACGTCACATCATTTTTATTATCATATATTTTAAAAATTATTCTATTATTGTTGTTAATCTCTTACTGTGCTTGATTTATAAATTAAACTTTATTATAGGTGTGTATGTACAGGAAAAAACATAGTGTATATGGAGTTTGGTACTATCTGAAGTTTCAGGCATCCATGGGGGGCCTTGGAATGTATCCCCCATGGATAAGAGGGTACTACTCTGTGTGTGTGTGTGTGTGTATGTGTGTGTGTATGTATGTGTGTGTGTATGTATCAACCCTGCCTTAATTTGGAGGGGGGAATGGATGGATAAGAGGATACTACTCTGTGTGTGTGTGTGTGTATGTGTGTGTGTGTGTGTGTGTGTGTGTATGCATCAACCCTGCCTTAATTTGGAGGGCGGCATGGTCAGGCTGGATGGGTAAGAGAGGTCCAGGAAATTTACCTAAAGGGATGATGTTAGTGCATGGCCTTAAAGAATGAGTAGGTCAGTCAGATGAAGGAAGACAAATGTAGGGCAGGGATTCTGACTATATCTGACAGCCAATTATTTTGGACTAACTTTTGGTTGGTGCGATAACGGAGAAATGCATTAACTGCACTGTGTTGGTTACTCAGGGAGAGAAGACATCTTTCATCTCACTCTGACCTCTATTTTCATAAATAAAGCTGCCCTCAGGTAAGCCCAGAGTGACTACTATTTACTAAATGTTACCTTTGACAGGTCCATTGCTAATACTTATAAAGGAGCACAGGCTCCTGCTTATAATAAAAAAGAAAATAACTCTGGACTCTTGCAACATCCTGTTTATAAATCAAACTTAATTTAATTAATTAACTTACTTCTTGTTCCCATAAAACACGCTTACTTATTTTTGTAGCACCAGCATACAGTGGAGTGCCTGGGCCATGCTAGCACTCAACAAATGGTTTTCAAATGAATTAAATAAAAAAGTAAGTAGAGCTGACATCAGTGACCCTGGCACCAGACCGTTTGCAGGAATCATTAAATACCTTTAAGATTCTTCAGTCATTAAGCTCTCTCCCATGATAGCCGATATGCTGAGCTCCAGTAAGAGCAAACAACTTCAGTCCTCACCATTTCCTCTTTAAGCCTCAAAGACATTGTAGCCCTGGGATGGCACTTCTTTTTAATGGAAAATCCCGATATTAAAAAGAATCCCTTGGGCCAGGCACAGTGGCTCATGCCTATAATGCTAACACTTTGGGAGGCCAAGGCAGGAGGATCACTTGAGCCCAGGAGTTTGAGACCAGCTTGGCAACATAGCAAGGTCCCATCTCTACAAAATGAAAAAAACATTAGATGGTGTGGTGATGCATGCATGCGGTCCAACTGTTCAGGAGGCTGAGGTGGAAGGATTGCTTGACCCTGGGAAGTTGAGGCTGCAGTGAGCCATGGTTGCGCCACTGCACTTTAGTCTGGGCAACAGAACAAGACTGTCTCAAGATAAATAAATAAATAAATAAATAAATAAATAAATAAATAAGCAAATAAATAAAAAGAATCCCTTGAACCTCTATTTGATTTTTTTTTTGTGATATGCCTACTTTTCCTCCCAACAATATTATTTAGGCTGTCACACAAAGAATGAAATAAAGTAACTAGGTAGAACTAACTACCAATACGTACCTGGGGTGGAAAACACTGCTCTATTGATTTGGAACATTTTCTACCTCACTTTCTTTCTTTTTTTTTTTTTTTTTTTTTGAGACAGAGTCTCGCTCTGTTGCCCGGGCTGGAGTGCAGTGGCCGGATCTCTGCTCACTGCAAGCTCCGCCTCCCGGGTTCACGCCATTCTCCTGCCTCAGCCTCCCGAGTAGCTGGGACTACAGGCGCCTGCCACCTCGCCCGGCTAGTTTTTTGTATTTTTTAGTAGAGACGGGGTTTCACCGTGTTAGCCAGGATGGTCTCGATCTCCTGACCGCCCGCCTTGGCCTCCCAAAGTGCTGGGATTACAGGCTTGAGCCACCGCGCCCGGCCTCTACCTCACTTTCATTCCCTAATTATGCAACCTTCAGCAAGTTCCCTCAACGCACTAAGCCTCAGTTTCTTCATCTGTAAAATAAGAATAATAAAATGCTTTTTCACCTACCTCCTAAAGGAATTGTTAGTACCCAATTATATTTGAAAGGGCTTTGCAAAATAATAAATAACTCTACATTTTTTTGTTTCACTAAAGCAATAGACATATGCCACTGTAATACTTTTTAGAAAGTCTATCTTCCCATAGATTAAAGTGTTTTTGTGTGATACATTTAGTTGTTGAATGGAATTTAATTTTTTTTTCCATAGAACCCCAGAATACACCAAAGATAACAAACAATAAAGTATCTGTTTAGTGACAAATGTCCCTAAGGAGAAAGGGATAAAAATACATCACCTCATGAGAAATGTTTTACATTCCTTTTTGGCCTGAGTGACTTGATCATATGCTTAAACTCCAGTCACAGTGGTAGCGATGTATTTAATGAAGAATTGGGAAACCCTGCTGGGATTACGGGTTTGTTTTTGTACATGCAAAAGACCCTTTTCTATTGTATTGTATTGTATTGTATTGTATTGTATTGTATTGTATTGTATTGTATTGTATTGTATTGTATTGTATTTTTTTGAGAAAGGGTCTCTCTCTGTCACCCAGCCTGGAGTGCAGTGGTGTGATCACGACTCACTGCAGCCTCAACCTCCTGGGCTCCAGCAATCCTTCCACCCCTGCCTCCTGAGTAGCTGGGACTACAGGTGCGCGTCACCATGCCCAGCTAATTTTTGTAGTTTTTGTAGAGATGGAGTTTCACCACGTTGCCCAGGCTAGTCTCAA